CTTGGGTTTTACTCCGTCGGAGTGTACTTCACACTTTAAAACCGAAGTAATCGATTTATATAGTCAGAAATTAAATAGATTAAACATCTACGACCCTTACCATGCCCCTGGGATACTTTTTAAAGACGCCAGAAGCTGTCAGAGTGGAACTGGCCAGGGCACGCTTTGGGATTTCCCCGGAGGAGTTGGCCCAAGTGGCTGGGGAGAGGGAAGTCTGGGCCTCTTGACTGAGGCTACTGCCCCCGCGACCCGACTCCGGATAAGCGGATGAAAATGGATGGATGGATGGACAAATAACAGATTTACATGTAAGTAGTTTAAATAGACTGCTGTGCTGTTTGAATTTATAAACTGAACGCCAAGAGAAATCACTAGTCTGATTTCTTTCCTTGACTAAAATAAATATGTCAGGCAGGAGCGTCTCAGGATCTGTCTGAGATCTGTCTCGGTGAGACAGATAATAGCAATCCAAAGTGCTTTTTATGTGTGATCTGACAATTGATCAACCATTGCTTAAAAATTAAATATAGCTTAGCCGGTTAATTGTTGTGATCATAAAACACGTAAACGGCAGCACGCAGAACTCACGAGGCAACGTTTTATGTGACGTTTACTTGTTGCTATGAGTAATAAGACAGAAGAAGAAGAAAATATCATTTCTATATCGCCTCTCAAGATAAAAATACAGAGGCGCTTCACAAAAGCAAAAAATGTAAAATTATAAAAAAGAATTTAGAAAATGTTTAAAAATATATTTAAAATGAGCAAAAATAGGCAATTGTGATTAAAAATGTTAAGAAAGAGAGAGAGAGTGAACAGGAAAGAGGGAAATCAGTGGATCCTGAGGAAGGTGGAATAGGTGGGAGAGCAGAATAAAGAGAGAGTGGTGAAGAAGGTCATACAAAAGCCTGCTTGAACAAGTGAGTCTTCAGCTGCTTTTTAAAGGAGACCACTGAGTCCACTGATCTCAGGCTCAGGGGGAGAGAGTTCCAGAGTCTGGGGGCCACAGCAGCAAATGATCTGTCACCTTTGGTCTTTAGCCTGGTGCTGCACAACCAGTAGGCTTTGATCACTGGATCTCAGGGACCTGCTGGGGGTGTAGGGACTAAGAAGATCACCAATGTAAGATGGTGATTGTCCATGTAAGGCCCTACAGACCAGAACCAGGATCTTGAAATGAACCAAACGAACAGAAAAAGCCACGCTAAAATAAGTTTAGGAAGCCCACTAAGAATCGTAATAAAAGCATTTAAAATAAATACCATACACAGTTGAGGAAACGTTGGTTTAAGTACCTGATATGAAGCGGTCGCTGCATAAGCGAAAACCTTTACTCTCGGGGTGCCACAGTTTCATTTTAGCCCGGTCACTAGCGCATTTTATTACAATGATCCAACGTTTGCGGCGCTCCGGATCTTGGGGAATCCTGTAGATGGCTCATTCCTTATGTTGTCCGCGTCTGTTCTGCATCCTGGGGCACAACAGGAATCTACCATATTTTCTGTCTGATTGAGTTTTCTGACAATAACAAATAGTCCAGCTGCCGGCTTCTACCTGCCAAGATGGTGCCGTTTTGATTTGAACTGTTGCATGCCGGGAGAAGTGACGTCAACTCCCGGAGCTCTATAGGGTCAGTTATTAAGTGTCCTAAACCTGTTGAAAAGTTCATTTATAAAACAGATAACTCTGTTTCTGTCATTATACGGTAAGAGGAGGTCGGACCCAAAATGCAGAAACCCAGAATAACTCGAGGCAGAAGAGGTTGTAAGAAAAAAATTCCTTTTATTAAGGAGGGTGAGCAAAATCCAAAAGGCACAAAGAACCTGAAAAACTAGAGGGACAAAAACAAAGCTGACAACATCAATGGACCGACAACACAAAGAGACACAGGCAGGGTATATATACAGACGCTGGGTGGTAGGAGACGAGGGGCAGGTGTGGTGGAATTGGGCACAGGTGAAAACAATGAATTAAGGAGAAGCAGAAATAAGCAGGGGAGAAAACCAAATCTAATCCTGAAAACCAAAGCTACTGAAATTACCAAACTAAACTAAAAACATAGAAGAAACAAAGACACAGGGGATCTAAAAAGAAAATAAGTGATCTAAGTGGGGAAAGGAAACACACACACACTAAAGGAGACAGGAGAACTGAAACACCAAACCAAAAGGTGGGGAGAATGGAGAATATGAGGGAAACCAGGAGGGAGCTGGGGACAAAAGGGGCACAGAACATGACAGTTTTTATAACAAAATCCTTTCATTATTTATTTCAGGTAATAATCCAAATAAAATTTGGTGACTTTGGTCAAGAAATGGTTTACACAATTTAAATGTTTATATTATCATTCATTTCACATTTCATCCTTTTCTCTGGCAGAAATATTAAATAGAAATATTCATAAATATCCCTTGAAAATGAAAAAGAAACACACAAACAGCCTATTAATATATGCCTCATTGTGTATACAGCATACAGTACAAAGTTTCGTCAACATCTATGTCGTCCAAATCAGGTCTTTGGGGGAGGGGGGAGAGAAGATCAAAACTAAAGAACAATTTTTCTGTGGAACATTCTGGACAGTATTTGTCATTGTTTTGGATTGTTGTAAAAATAATACATGCATGCATCATATTAGCCTGGCCAGCCATGCTAGTGCTTCTCTATGGGAATGCTCCCATTGAAATAACCCCACCTCCTGAGAACTCTGAGCCAATAAGCACTGAGCAGCGTACGCCACACACTGCAACACTCACCCATCCATCCATTTTCTGCACCAGCTTATCCATGCAGGGTGGCGGGGGGCTGGTTCCTGTCTCCAGCAAACTCTGGGCAAACAGGCGGGAACACCCAGGACAGATGGCCAGTCCATCGCAGGGTAACACAGAGACACATGGGACAAATAACCAAGCACACCCACACCTAAGGACAATTTAGACAGACTAATTAAACTAACAGACATTTTTTTGGAACTGTGGGAGGAAGCCAGAGTACCTGGACAGCATGCACATGGAGAACATGCTAACTCCTTGCAGAAAGACTCCAGGCTGGGATTTGAACCTGGGACTTTCTTGCTGCAAGGCAACAGCACTAACCACTGTGCAGCCCACCGCAATGCTCAGTTTATCATAAACAAAAAAGATGCCGTCTGAAGCGGAGTTCGCTTCAGGTCCAAGTCTTTTAGAACAGATTCTAAAAGACTTGGACATGTCTTCAATATCACAACAAGAAATATGTTTGCACCTTCTCCAGACAACATTTTTGACTACAGCTAAAAAACGGCTGCGTTGCATTATAGAGTCATCATTTCCGCCTTTTTTCTCATTAGGTATTTTTAAGCTGGCTAGTCCCGCCCCTCATGTTCTCTGCCTCTGAATATCCAGACAGGCCAGGCTAGCATCATGAAGCTTATAAGAGCATCAGAAACATGAAAATATTATTTCATGGTGCATAATAATTCTGTAATTAGTTTGCGATTAAATACAATTAATCGTGAGTTATTGTGTGATTATTAATGCGTACAGTTGTTGGCCTAATGCATGTATGCATGTCAGCTGCTGCTGCTTCATATATATGTATACATATATATATATATATATATGTATATATACATTCCCATGTCACCCTCCGTGGGTGGTCTAATCCTCCCAAGCTCAGGTCCTCTGCAGAGGCCTGGGAGCTTGAGGTTTCAGAATGAATGCACTGCACTTTTCTGGACTGAGATGTCTGATGTGTTTCCTGGGATCTGCTTTAGCTACTCCTCCAGTTCGGGGTTACTGCCCTGAGTGCCCCGATGACCACGGGCACCACCGATGTCTTTACTCTCCAGGCTTTCTCAAGTTCTTCTTTGAGGCCCTGGTACTTCTCTCGTTTTTTGTGTTCCTTTTTCCTGAAGTTGCATCACTTGGGATAGCAGTAGCTCAGGACGTTGAGCCGGTTTTCCAGTAATCAGAAGGTTGCAGGTTCGATCCCAGCTCTGGATAGAGAACTCTTGACTGCTGGTGGTGGTCAGAGGGACCGGTGCCACCTGTGCCTCTATCAGTGTGCCCCAGGGCAGCTGTGGCTACAATGTAGCTCATCGCCATCAGCATGTGATTGTGTGTGGGAGTGGATGAACGATACACTGTACTGTAAAGCACTTTGGAGTCCTCTGACTCTGAAAGGCGCTATGCAGTTGCGGGGCATTTATCACTTGGTATTGCCACATCAACCACAACAGCTGTCCTGTGACTATTTTTTAATTCTGTTGAAGCATTTCTGAAAGGCAATGTCTGATTTCATTGGTTAAATTTCATGTAATTTTCATGAATTACTACTTGTGTCAGATTTATGTAATGTTTGTGACCGTTGTGGATTTTTCTTTCATTTTCATATATACACACTGTGTGTGTGTTTATATATTCCTAGAAGTAGAACTGACACAGTGTCTGTGAAACAGTAGATTGATGCAAGACAGCTAAAATCACCTTTGATCTCTCCCGCAGCAAGTGTTTATATCCTTAGGAGTGGCTGTAGAAGCGCTGCAAGCATCTTCTGCCCGGGTATTTGAGGTATTTTCCCAAGTGCCTGGAAAACTTGGTATAACTGAACTACTGGTGGGAAAAAAGCCCACCCTTGATGCATCTGTTATCAACAACCCCAGGCCCTGTTGCTAATCTGCCTTTCCCAAGCAAGATGTCTGAGAACATGCGTGCAGCCAACTGAATAAGTACCTGCTCTTGTGCCATCTGTTTGACATTTCCTGCCTGGTCCTCCTCTCCCCATGTGGGGGTCAGAAAACGATCTCCCTGTAGATACAGATCGTCACACTTCTCATTTAATTTCTTTTCCTTATTGGTGATTTCAGATACAGCATCACCTGGGAATTTAATGTGACTTCTGCTAGAAGACCTTAAGTTTATGGGCAGACATAATCCAGAAGTTTTGTTTTTCCTTCACCTGCTTACTGATTAATTCGATGTAAAACTGCACATGACATAGTCTGTCTCTTTTCGGTTCAGGTTCTGTTTTGGGAGGATGGATCTGAGCAGAGTGGAGTACGGGTTGTCAACAGCACAGCTCTGCTCTCCGGTCTGAAGGGCAGCACTTTCTATCAGATTGCAGTCAGAGCCCAGAACAGTGCTGGTTTTGGACCCTGTAGCGTCTCAGTCAACATCACCACTAAAAAACCACGTAAGTCTCCACACAAAACACTAGATGGACATTTGTTTGCTTCACCCACTTAAAAAAAATAAATAAATGTTTCTGTAAACATTTTATTTGTTGGTTTGAAATGCTTCACATATTGGTTACCGTAAATCCTCTAATACAGGCCGGTATCCAATTAAAGGCCGGGTCTCCAATTTTGGCCGGTGCCGGAGTCAGCGGAGGTAAATAATGGCCGGTCTCTTATTGTGGCCGGGGTGGAATGTGGTAACAAGCAAATATGAGCGTCCCAGCGGCAGGGTTATAGTCCCCAAATCAACCAGCAGGAGGCAGTAGAGGTTCACGCAGAACTTTGTTGGGCTTTTTCTTCAACGCTTTGTAACGCTACAGACACGATCCTCTATCACGCTCCTACCACACCGAGTCACGGTGTCAGTTAACCATGCTAATTCAACCCCTCCACAGAACACACCTCACCTTCCCTGTGGCTTACATAACACTCACACAACACGCAAATCAGCACATAGGAACTAGCAGAACGATAGGAAACACATATAACACAATACCCAGAATGCACCTGGCTTACAACCCCAGCCAGGTCATTACACTATCAAGTTCAAAGAGAACGTGCTGATTATGCTGCAGAACACCCTGGAGAGCAGCAGTAGGGGGTGTATGAACTAGTCAACTTCACTACAGTAATCCCTCGCTACTTCGCGGTTCGTTCATCGCGGATTTGCTGCTTCGCGGATTTTTTCTTTGGAGCATTTTTCAGGGGGAATTCGCAGATTTGCGGTATTTTTCACTGATTCGCGGTATTTTTCTATGCGAAATATCAAGAAATTCTTGTTTTTTTCATCAATTTCATCATAAAATGCACTTTTTGTAATAAAGCTACAAAAAAAACAAGTAAAAAAATTTTTTTCTTGAGTTTTACCCACAAAAAGAGAATGTGATCATACGATAATTCAATAGGGAGCGTGGTTTCACAGACGCGGAAGTGATAGCGTAGGTGAAACGCCGGCTGATCTAGGAAACCCCCGAGCGTTCGAGCGTCAACGAAGTGACACGGAAATGCCGGGCTTTCCAGAAGTAAGTAAGATAACTTACTATGAGCTGATAGTTCGTTGGATTGATCGGTAGGTTGGAAACTCTGATCATGAATCTGAAGAAACGATGGCTGAGTGGTGAGCTGGAAAGGCGACTTCCATTTATAGCCGCGGTTTGTGACGTAGGTGCAACGTGGAGGGAATCCCCGCGAGGGGCATGCTGGGAGTCCCTACTTCGCGGATTTTCACCTATCGCGGCCAGGTCTGGAACACATCTACCGCGATAAACGAGGGATTACTGTAGTGACTTTTTATGCCTGTCGCCGACTAGTCGCTGTCACGTGATAATGACCGGCAAGATGCAGCCCTCGGAAAAGACAGCAGCCTGCTATCAGCAGGTGACAAGCTCCTGCGCTCGGGGGGTGGGGGGTGGGGGGTCAACGCGCTGTGCGAGACCGTAGGTACTGACACGCGATCGTTCATGTCGGTTCATTTCCTTTAATGTTTTCTGTCTTTTATTTGCGCCTGATGTGTATCGCTGCTGTGGAGCGGGGCGCATCAACTTGTCCTCCGACGCACAGATCACTGATGAGGCCGGCAAGCAGGGAGCGCTCCGCTGTTTTCGCGGTCGGTAGATCTGCCTCCTGAGCACGGCCACAGTAACAATCAGGTGTCGCCACCTCAAAAACTAATTTAACACGCGATCGTTCATGTCAGTTCATTTCCTTTAATGTTTTCTGTCTTTTATTTGCGCCTGATGCGTTTCACTGCATGCTGTGGAGCGGGGCGCTGCGCACATCACCTTGTCCTACAACGCACTGATCACTGATGCGGCCGCCAAACAGCGAGCGCTAATTATTTTAATGTTTAGAGCAGCAGGAACTCCGAGAGGCTGCAGGCGCATCAGTGAGTTTGCGGCTGCTGCGCAGGGGGAGGGGGGAGAGGGCTGAAGCAGGGGGAGGGGGGAGATGGCTGAAGCAGAAACTACCGTTGTTAAAAGAAATGTGTTTAACTTTGAAAATGTGGGCGCAATTTTAATTGTCAAAAACTCCAGCGAACCATTAGTTCATTTTGCTCAATTAGAAATAGAGGCCTGCCTCTAATACTGGCCCTCCTTCCAATAAAGGCCTGGAGCTTGATGAGCTTGAGTCAAATACAGGCCCGGGCCTGTATTTGAGGATTTACGGTAGATTGACTTATGTGTTTATACTTATCATAACTTTATGTAATATGAGAAATTCACACTAAAACAACACACTAACGTCATCTGGCATTAATATTCATAATATTAGTACTTCAGGAAAGTAACAGCCCCATCTCTCCCCCTCGTCCTGACGGACTCCCCCGTCACCACTGTGGACTCCTTCCGCTTCCTCGGAACCACCATCACACAGGACCTTAGGTGGGAGCCGTCCATCAGCTCCCTGCTCAAAAAGGCCCAGCAGAGGATGTACTTTCTGCGGCAGTTGAAAAAGGCCAAGCTGCCGGCCCAGATGATGGTTCAGTTTTACACGGCCATCATTGAGTCCATCCTCACTTCCTCCATCGCTGTGTGGTACGCTGGAGCCACAGTGAGGGACAAACATAGACTGCAGCGCATTGTGCGCTCTGCTGAGAAGGTGATTGGCTGCAGCCTTCCATCTCTCCAGGACCTGTACGTCTCCAGAACTCGTGGGCGTGCAGGTCGGATAGCAGCTGACCCTTCTCACCCGGGTCACAGACTTTTTGAGCCGCTTCCCTCGGGCAGGAGGTTACGGTCCATCCGGACCAGAACCTCCCGCCATAAGAACAGCTTCTTTCCATCTGCCGTTAGACTTGTGAACAGCTTATAAACACACAACCATGCTCGTCTTCTGTACTTAACGTCACGTTATCGGCCATATTATCTTTACCTGCCATTTTTTATAGCAAAGTTTTATGCTAGTTTATTATATTTTATTCTACTTTATTCTACTTTATTCTATTTTTTAATTATATTATTCATGTTATATGTAGCACGTTAGTACCGAAGCAAGTTCCTAGTTGGTGAATCGTTTGTTCACTAACAATGGCAATAAACCTTTTCTGATTTTGATATGATAAGAATCAGTGGGAGCTCTTCCCCAGGAGGATGGTTACGATGCTCCCTGTCATGAAGCAAGAAAGAAGTACCGTAAATCCTCTAATACAGGCCCGGGTCTGTACTCAAGCTCATCAAGCTCCAGGCCTTTATTGGAAGGAGGACCAGAATTAGAGGCAGGCCTCAATTTCTATTTAGCAAAATGAACTAATGGTTCGCTGGAGTTTTTGACAATTAAAATTGTGCCCACATTTTCAAAGTTAAACACATTTCTTTTAACAACGGTAGTTTCTGCTTCAGCCCTCCCCCCCCTCCCCGTGCGCAGCGGCCGCAAACTCACTGATGCGCCTGCAGCCTCTCGGAGTTCCTGCTGCTCTAAACATTAAAATAATTATTTCATTTTCTGTTCCTCACTTCTGATTTCCTTCAATGGTGTCTGTTTGTTGCAACCAGCAGGTACACTAACTTGTTTTTATTTGACTATTTTTCTGTCCTGTCTGTTTATTATCTTCCTGCATCTCCTCTCAATCCTAAAGAAAAACTGCTACCTGGGTTCATATATATTCACCTCATGAGTTACCTTTGAACTGCAGTTCTAAAAGATCTACCAACCGCAAAAACAGCGGAGTGCTCGCTGCTTGCCGGCCACGGGAGGCAACGCGCTGTGCCAGAGCGTCGGTACTGACACCCGCCGTAAAACGGACATTTAACCAAATTGTGACGTTTACCCTCTTGCAATTTAACATTCCCCTCACCCCCATCCTAACCTTAACCAGCTTGCGCATGCAAAGCTCTGATCGCTGACGCACTCCAGACATCTGCGTCCTGAGCACGGCCACAGTAACATTATCAAATCAGGTGTCGCCACCTCAAAAACTAATTTAACACGCGATCGTTCATGTCGGCTCATTTTCTTTTATGTTTTTTGTTTTTTATTCTTTTCTTTGTGCCTGATGCCTTTCGCTGCTGTGGATCAGGGCGCATCACCTGTCACCTGCTGACAGCAGGCTGCTGTCTCTTCCGTGGACTGCGTCTTGCCGGTCATTATCACGTGACAGCGACTAGTCGATGACAGGCATAACAAGTCACTATAGAGTGATGAAGTCGACTAGTGACTAGTTCATACAACCCCTGCTACTGCTCTCCAGAGTGTTCTGCAGCATAATCAGCACGTTCTCTTTGAACTTGATATCAAATTTTCGCCTCCTCTTCGTCTCCGCACGGTAAAAGTTACCCTCGCGATCTATCACTGGCAAATCAAAAGTGAAACGGATGACACAACCGTTCCCCATACTTGCTTGTTACCTCATTCCACCCGGCCACAATAAAAAAAATGGCCATTATTCACTTCCGCCGACTCCGACACTGGCCAAAATATGATACCCGGCATTTAATTAAATACAGGCTAATATTAGAGGATTTACGCCATACAAAAATAGAGACGTCCACGTCATGTGACAATGCAAGTTATCTTACTTAGAAATTATGGAGGGGTCTGCCATTCACTGTGTATTCCCACTGTGACTCACAGTCTGTGAGAGACGTCATCAAAAAGCAACCAAAAAAAACAGGAAATAAGATGTCACGGTTTTTAAATAATTTGTTTGCATTGCACTGCTGCACATAAGTATTTGAACACCTGGCAATAAGCAAGACTTCTGGCTCTCAGAGACCTGTTACTATATCTTTTAAAAAGCAAACTTCTACTCCACTTATCAATCTAAATTATTAGCATCTGTCTGACTGACAATATACTTCAACTACCATGGGCAAGACTGTCTGAGCTGTCTAAAACGCCAGAGACTAAGCTGTGGACCTCCACAAGCCCGGAATGGGCAACGGTGCAATCGCCAATCAGCTTGGTTAAAAATAACCAACAATTGGGGCAGGAGGCTCTCCCTTCGGACAAGAACCTCTCGCCAAGAAAAGTTTCTTCCCCTCTGCAGTCGGACTCATGAATGACAACCATAGACCTGCCCACTCCAGTCGCTTTGTTTCAGTCACATGACCTTGTGTTGTGTTTGTACCTAACTGTTCTGCTCTAATCAGCACCTACACTGTTGTGTATATGTTAGCTGTTTCTCTAAATATTTCCTCTCTATAATAATCTAGTGTGCTTATTTTTTTTTATTTCATATTTTTTGCTTATCTCTGTTTTCTTGGGGCACCAGGTTATCCTACACATATGGCAACAAATCATTCTGATTCTGAAGGGAAAAAAAAATTATAAATATATACAGGTCCTTCTCAAAAAATTAGCACATTGTGATCAAGTTCATTATTGTCTGTAATGTACTGATAAACATTAGACTTTCATATAAAAGTAGTTCAAGCCTTTTATTGTTTCTAATATTGATGATTTTGGCATACAGCTCATGAAAACCCAAAATTCCTATCTCAAAAAACTTGCATATCATGAAAAGGTTCTCAAACGAGCTATTAACCAAACGTTCTGAATCAACTAATTAACTCTTAACACCTGCAAAAGATTCCTGAGGCTTTTAAAAACTCTCAGCCTGGTTCATTACTCAAAACCGCAATCATGGGTAAGACCTGACTGCTGTCCAGAATGCCATCATTGACACCCTCAAGCAAGAGGGTAAGACACAGAAAGAAATTTCTGAACGAATAGGCTGTTCCCAGAGTGCTGTATCAAGGCACCTCAGTGGGAAGTCTGTGGGAAGGAAAAAGTGTGGCAGAAAACGCTTCACAACGAGATGAGATGACTGGACCCTGAGGAAGATTGTGGAGAAGACCGATTCCAGACCTTGGGGGACCTGCAGAAGCAGTGGACTGAACATGGAGTAGAAACATCCAGAGCCACTGTGTACAGGCGTGTGCAGGAAATGGGCTACAGGTGCCGCATTCCCCAGGTCAAGCCACTTTTGAACCAGAAACAGCGGCAGAAGCGCCTGACCTGGGCTACAGAGAAGCAGCACTGGACTGTTGCTCAGTGGTCCAAAGTACTTTTTTGGGGGTGAAAGCAAATTTTGCATGTCATTCGGAAATCAAGGTGCCAGAGTCTGGAAGAAGACTGGGTAGAGGGAAATGCCAAAATGCCTGAAGTCCAGTGCCAAGTACCCACAGTCAGTGATGGTCTGGGGTGTCATGTCAGCTGCTGGTGTTGGTCCACTGTGTTTTATCAAGGGCAGGGTCAATACAGCTAGCTATCAGGAGATTTTGGAGCACTTCATGCTTCCATCTGCTGAAAATCTTTATGGAGATGAAGATTTCATTTTTCAGCACGACCTGGCACCTGCTCACAGTGCCAAAACCACTGGTAAATGGTTCTCTGACCATGGTATTACTGTGCTCAACTGGCCTGCCAACTCTCCTGACCTGAACCCCGTAGAGAATCTGTGGGATATTGTGAAGAGAAAGTTGAGAGATGCCAGACCCAACACTCTGGATGAGCTTAAGGCCGCTATGGAAGCATCCTGGGCCTCTATAACACCTCAGCAGTGCCACAGGCTGATTGCCTCCATGCCACGCCGCATTGAAGCAGTCATTTCTGCAAAAGGATTCCCGACCAAGTATTGAGTGCATAACTGAACACAACTATTTGAAGGTTGACTTTTTTCGTATTAAAAACACGTTTCTCTTATTGGTCGGATGAAATATGCTAATTTTTTTAGATAGGAATTTTGGGTTTTCATGAGCTTTATGCCAAAATCATCAATATTAGAAACAATAAAAGGCTTGAACTACTTCAGTTGTGTGTAATGAATCTAATATATATGAAAGTCTAATGTTTATCAGTACATTACAGACAATAATGAACTTTATCACAATATGCACATTTTTTGAGAAGGACCTGTATTTATTTATATATATATATATATATATACAAATATTACATACAGACACACACAGTATACATTCTGTTCCATTCACTTCTCTATCATTTTGCATCATGTGCAGTAGCCTTTAAAACCAGAAACCAAACAAAATAAGTGCTGGTACTCCTCTTAGACAATTATGAAACTGGAGGGGAGGCCACTCGGATCTCTGCTGAAGAGGGGTGGGATGGGGATTGGAATCGTATGGGCAGGGGAAGGTTCGACCAACGTTACCTGGATGGTGGAATTGTGAATGGCTGCTGTTTACCTGAAGGCGGACAGTTATTATTATTTTTTTATAGAGATAGATATTGACTGATACATGGCTGGTAAATGTATCGGTATACAAGGTACTCCAGGAAATATTCCCAATACGCTTTAAGGTAAAATTTAATAGTGCCATGCTTACTGGCCCACCTAAAGCACTGGGCCTTTAATAACATTCAAATTAGTGAAAATACCTGCTTCAATAAATGGCAAATTTTTTTCTTCTTCACTTATTTAAAGGAAAATCTGGTTAATTTCAAGTTTTCTAATTCAATCATGATTCACCGCAGCATTGTAAAAAGAAATAACACCAACTAACATGAGGTTAATAAATTTGTCACTTTGTGTTTCTTTGTCTGCTCATCTTGTAGCACCCAGTCAACCTCCCGCAGGCATCGAGTGGCTCCTGACCAACTCAAAGATCCTTCTGAGGTGGGAGCACGTCAAGGCCATGGAGAACGAGTCTGAGGTGATGGGATACAAGGTGAGAAGGTCCAGGACCAAACAGTGTGTAAACTTGATAAGATGTTTAATATTAGTTTTAGTCTTAGTCCTTTGACCTGATTTTTTAATTTGTCACAGTTTAGTCATCCAATTAGTTTTAAATTTTGTCTTATTTTAGTCGACTAAAACATATGTATATTTCTTTTGATGCAATCATTTCAAAGGAAATGTTAACTACACCAACTTAGTAGGTATGAAGTATGAAAATTGTAATCTAAATTTAAAAAATTAGATCAATAAAATGTTTAATATATTTTGTTATTATATAATATTGTTTAAACTTAATGGAAAATACCAAAATACACATTGACAGTTTGACATGAGCAAACCTGTATAATGTGCAGTATTATAAACATGACAGGAAATGACATCATACCATCAAAACATCACAAGGTGTTACTCTAATAATGCAATAGAGTTTTCCCTGCACTGTTTTACCAAAGTGGGCTGCCTGAACTTTGTTCTGAGCCACCTGAATGTTTTTTTCCTCACAAAATCACAGCTAGAACACTGATTGCTGATAATATTGGCTGTGACAGCACCACAGAAACAAAAACCGATTAAACAACCAGATGCAAGTCTCCACCAGTTCAGTCCTGCTGCACCTGCAGATATTCACTCCACCTGCCCTGACTCGCCAACACTTGCTGCTGCCACAGTAAGACGTTTAAAACCAGGGGAAATCCTGGATGTGTTCTCACCAAGCAAATATTTTTCAGATCGTTACACTTACTTGGAAACATTTTCATATTTTTAAATACATTTCTTGGGCAAGTATGTGCTAAAATGATCCATTACAGCCAGGATATTCAATTCTAGTCCTAGAGGGCTGATAACCAGTATGTTTTAGTGGTTTCCATGTTCTAACACATTTGATTCAGTGGTTGAATCACCTGTGCAGCACCTCATCAGGTCTACAGAGGCCTGTTAATCACCTGCTGATTGAAATCAAGTGTGTTGAAACAGAGCTAAAACTAAAACATGCTGGATACCGGCCCCCCAGGACTGGGATTGAATACATCTGCTTTACAGGGCTAACAAAATGTCAGTAAGACTCTTCCACCCCTTGTGTGTGTTGGACATTGTAAAGAGGAGCTGACATACCTGGTGCTGCAGCCTATTTCCAACACAATTCTTACATGTTTTAGATCACAAACAGCTGATTTGTTTGATGTAGTGATGAATTACTCCTGTAGACACTAATGAAGGGTGGGGAGACATTTCAGCTTAAGGTGTTAAAAAGACAAACGCACAGCAAGAAGATAAGTTTCACTTTTGGTTTTACTAGCAGACATTAGGGGGTGCAAGGCAAAACTTCCTTTAATGCTTTTCTTCCAGCTGTGGACATTTTCTCATTTTAGACATAAAAGACCAGCTCTAGTCATTGTTATTTTTCTTATCTTTTATTGCTGTATTGCTGTATTGCTGATTGGTTCTTCTTTACTATCATTTTCCGTTGCCATCTTTTATTTATCTTTCATCCATCCATCCATCCATCCATTTTCATCCACTTATCCGGAGTCAGGTTACAGGGGAAGCAGCTTAAGCTGAGAGGCCTAGACGTCCCTCTCCCCAGGCACTTGGGCGAGCTCCTCCAGAAGAAAATAATTTCTGCCGCTTGTATCCCCGATCCTGTTCTTTCGGTCACTACCCAAAGCTTGTGACCATAGGTGAGGGTAGGAAGATAGATCAACCGGTAAATCGAGAGCTTTGCCTTCTGGCTCGGTTCTCTCTTCACCACGACAGATCGTCACAACACCCGCATCACTGCAGATGCAGCACCAATCCACCTGTCAGTCTCACGCACCAGCTTTCCCTCACTTGTGAATAAGACCCAGAGTTACTTAAAACTCCTCCACTTGAGGCAGGACCTCATCTATGATCTGGAGAAGGCATTCTACCCTTTTTCCAACTCAGGACCATGGTCTCAGATTTACTGGAGCTGATTGTCATCTCAGCTGTGAACTGCTCCAGCTAAAGCTGTAGATCACGTTCTGATTAAACCAACAGGACCTCTTCACTGGCAAAAAGCTGAGACCTGATCCTTAGGCCACCAAAACGAATCTCCTCAGCACCTTGGCTGTACCTAGAAACCCTGTCCATAAAAGTCATGAACAGAATTGGTGATGAAGAGCAGCCTTAGGCAGATTGACATTAGTCATAATTTTGTTTATTGTTGGTTTTAGTTTAGTTTAACAGCAAAAGTTCATTCGTCATCGAAAAAATGTAAATATGTTTCTTCACCTAAATTAACGCTGGTGCCAGAGAAATGTGTACAGTTTCTTAGCAGCTGTCATCCTAGCAAATGGCTTTCTCATTGGAGAAGTCTGGCATTTCAAAATTCAAAGATCTGTTCCAGTTGATAAAAGGAAGGGAGACCTGCCACTGAGGGAATTGAGCCTCTTCAAACCACCACAACAATGACTCATATGTCTTCAACTTTTAAGGAAATTACAGTGTTAGGGAATTTATCAATATGTTTATCAATAACCCATTTCCCGTAGTCGGAGAGAAAGGGAGACAATGAGACAACAAGTCAACCAGTTATAACTGCGGCATATGCACGAGGCAAAATGCCCCGAACATCTGGTCACAGACTTTATTTAAACAGAAAGATAAGAATGGGGATGAGGTAATTGTGTGTGTGTGTGTGTGTGTGTGTGTGTGTGTGTGTGTGTGTGTGTGTGTGTGTGTGTGTGTGTGTGTGTGTGTGATTTCTTTAATAAACTGTAGGCAGAGGGACATTGGTACAGAGACGGTCCCCTCAACAACAGAAGCAGAAAGATTATTGGTCCCTGTGGTCTTGGTCTTTTATTTTACCAACGTGTCGCGAAGCTACTCGATAGTTAAACTCTGAACCTGGATGTAAGGTTTTACGTGAAAAACACAACCACCAATAGTGTTACTCAGCACTGATTTTCCTCATTTATCTTAATTTAAGTGTAAATAAATCAGACGTAATCTGGGTTCCCTCATGAGACGGAGCACTGAGATGTTATTGACCATAGCTTGATGGTTAGTATTGATTTTTCTACAGACAGGTAGACTGGAGAGAGAGTGTGTATGACTGAGACAAGAATGTGTGTGTGTGTGTGTGAGAGAGAGAGAGAGAGAGAGTGTATGAATGAGTGCGTTTACATGCAGCCAGTAACCCTTTTAAAACCCGAATATTCACAATAACCCGGTTCCGCACGGCCATGTAAACACCGCCAAAAACCCAGATATGCTCATAACCGGGTTTTTAAAAACCCGGTTACTACACCTGGGGTAACCCTTTTCTAACCCGAATGTTTGGTCGTGTAAACGCATATCGGGATATCCCCATCAAAGCGTGTGTTCTGCACATGCTCTGTTCGCAAGGAATCTTGGTCTTCTGAGTAGCGAGACGTCTTGTACGCGCCAGAACACCGGAAGTAAACAACAAGATGGGAGCAACATGGCGAGTCGCGGCACAGCACCACACTTTTGGAGTGACGTAAGAAACTAAAGCGCAAACAAACGCGGTCGCTATCTCTTCCGAACTGGGAAACATGTTGTTGTTTTCACGGATACCGGAACGAGAAGAACCGGAAATGAGGCATATTGCGTCTGGACGTAGTCCATACCTCTTAACGCTACCCCAACGTCCGCATTTAAATCGGGTTATGCAAGTTGGAGGTAACTATTTCTATTTATGCTTGTAAACGGGTTATTCTGATCAACTCAGAAACCCGAATACCAACCTTAACCCGATCATAACCCAGATATTGGCTGCATGTAAACGTAGTCTATGAGACAAGAATGTGTGTGTGTGTGTGTGTGTGTGTGTGTGTGTGTGTGCGTGTGCGTGTGCGCGTGCGCATGTGCGTGCGCGTGTGTGTGTGCGTGCGTGCGTGTGTGTGTGTGGGGGGGGGGGGGGGGGGGGGGGGGAGAACAGTGTGTGGGTGTGTCTGAGTGAGGGGATGCTTCAGGACATTTGTTAACAGGATTAAAGCAATGAAATACAAAACTTCCACAACACACAGTTTTTGATAATGTGTTCCTCAAATATGTTAATTTATTGCACATTTATGCAGTCTGCATCATTTACAGATAAGTCTTTTGTAGAGCTTTTTTGTATAGAAGCCAACGTTTCATAGACGAGACCAGTTTAATAATTGTACAGAACAACATTTTTCTTGTTTTCAAATGCAGTCTGCTTCTCAATAGTGTTTTTTTATTCTTTTAAGGGGAAAAACAATTTGACCACAATGAAAATGCATGACTAAATGTTACAATGAATGTCTCAGGCCCTGGCTGTTTTTCTGCATTGACTCATTGGGACAAATGATCCCCCCAGACATTCTGAACTTATAACCTCCTCCCGAGAGGGATGAATGTTCACAATCTGTCAGTGCTCACATCTGCTGATTTGGAGTGTTTGGGTGTATACATTCACTGAGAAAAAACTATACAAATGCAGACTAAGCGGCTGGTCCTTTTACAGCTCAGTGAACCTTCATTTCTCTAGAAAAGTGATTTAATCGGGAGCAATTATCTAATGTTTGGTAGTGAGTGACAAAAATTGCAAACATCAATGATTTGATGTTTATTTTGGAAATATATTTTTAAACATTTCAGTACGGTTTGTTGAAACCCTGTTAAAGAGACTCATTATCCTGCATACTACTCATGTTTTAAACTGTGTTTCACCTTAATTAGGTTCACACAAGCCTATTTACAGTAAAGAGAACCGACCTGCTGCTGGGTGGTTTAGTATCAAGATGAGGACCACACTGCACAGGGGCCAGGAAGCAAAGACTAGAGCTGTCTGTAAAGCTCAGATGTTAGAGGACCATCTCAATCCTTTATAAATGTTTACCAAATACTAAGGCTGGACTAACTGTTCTACGATCAGTTAGTGAGTTTTAGCTAGGACCAGATATTTGTGAAGGTGTGAGTGAAGCAGCTAAAAACTAAATGCTGAATCAGAGGAAAGATAGAAGAGAAAGAAGGAAAAACTCAGGCTAGTCAGATTGGTCTCCGTTTGTAGATATGAGTCCTCTAAAAGGATTAAGGCCCAAAGCAAAAAGTCAAAAACATCTGAAGACTGGCTGACAAAACAGACTTTTCTTAAATGGTCCCTTCTGAACCCATATCACCATGCTATTGAACATATGTGAATGGTTATATGGAAAATCTCTAGAAACAGCAGCGTGGAGACTGACCCTCAAACCTGAGACAGCCGAAACAGAAGAGTGAGTCGATGCGTTTGTTGGCAAATCCAGATGGCTCATTGGTTTCTGCAAAAGGTGCAGCCACTGAAATATGACAAGGGAAACTATCGCCATTGTCTGTGACATTTTCATTGAACTAAAATGAATAGTTGAAAATAAACTCAAAAGAAATGTTTTATTTGTGAACAAAGTGTGTGAGTTTAAGGGCTGAACGGTACCAACAATCGTGTCTGCATTTGTTCATGTCAGTGCTCAGTGGTCATGAATGTTTTAGTATTTTACTGTTACATCTGATGGAGTCGTTGTTCAACGCAGGATCCTTCCTCTCTTTCAGGTTGTGTATCGACAAAAGTGGCATGGCCGGACCGCGGTGCTGCAAACCAATAAGACCAACGTGGAACTGCAAATCCCTGCTGGAGAGGACTACCTAATTGAGATCAAAGCTCTGAGTGAGGGGGGGGATGGCGCCACCAGTGGCCATATTCGCATACCAAAGATGTCCAGTAAGTTTCAAAGGCTCTGCAGCACACGTGATTAGAGATGGAAACGGGAGAGGAGCAGTACGGCTGTGTAGCTAATCCCCTGAGCGACTGATGCTGCATTAGCACCTCTCAAGCAACACTTCTGGAGTACATATATACAAATACAGTATAAAAATGTAAAACCACATAAAGATTTAAACCTACATGTGTTAACACACAGCTGTAGTAGTTTTTCTAAAGCTCAGACTGATAGAGAATAGGCACAAAGGTTAGTGTTAGACAAGATTAAATACATTTTAATTAGTGCTGTGAAAAATAATGTGTTCATTTAGTTAATTAATGTGAAATGTTTAATGCATTAAAAAATTAACGTAATTATTTAAAATTTTACATAATCCGACACCTCAAACTCGTGAGCGGCTCTGAAGGAGGGGGCAGCATTGCGCCATGCCGGTGTCTGACCTGCTGGGAATGATTAGAAGCAGCAGCAGCAGAAAAAGAGGAGAGGACAAGCTTGCTAGCATGCTAGCATGGACAGCACTGTCCATGCTAGCATGGACAATGCTGTCCATGAAGCGCTGTCTAGATCGGTACAAAGCAGAGCCCAAAACTGATATTGGAGACTGTCCATTACAGTGGTGGTTGAAGAGAGAAGAAGCACATTCCAGACTAGCACCTGTTGCATGCAAGTACCTGTCAACCCCTGCAACCACAGTGCCTTGTGAGAGATTATTCTCACTCTCAGGTCACATCGTTAAAAAAAGTGTGCTTCTTTGTCCTCAGATAATGTAAACTAGGGTGACCATATGTCCTCTTTTCCCCGGAGATGTCCACTTTTCATTCTCTGTCAGGGGCGTCGGGGTGGGGGTGGGGGGTGATTTATGTGCTCTCAGCGTAACAGGGGTTCTTTGAGCGGAGAGCACAGAGAGCGGCAGAGAGCTGATCGTTGGTGCGCTCCAGGCAGTTGCATCCTGCGCACGGTCCATTCTCAAAGTGGCGCAACCAAAAAACTATAATTAACCCACGATTGTTCATGTCCGCACATATTCTCTACTTTCTGTCTTATTTGTGCCTGAAGCGCTCTGCTGCTGCGAAGCTCATCACCTGTGCTGTGCGGTGCTGCGGTGATTTCACCTCACTGACGCAGCATCAAAATGCGCTCTCTGCTTTGTGGTCAGGAGATCCCTTTGATCTTCTCAAAAGTAACTGATGAGGTGGAAAAAGTAAGAATCCAGGCAGCAGAGTTTCTGGAGAGTTTAGGGGAGATGCAGGAAGATGAGAGACAGACAGGACAGGAAAATAGTTAAATAAAAACAAGAAAACAAAACAAAGTGTTGAAACGTCAAATGTACGTAGATTTATCTCCACTACACGTTTTTACCTGTATAAAACAATAAGTTATATACATGTAATATTTATACATCTGATACAATTCAGATCACCTTCAAAACTCAGTCACACACCCAGGGCCGTTTCAAGGCATTCTGGGGGCCAAGGCAAAACAGAACACCCCCCACCCCATAACCGGGCTCCCCAGAAGCCTCTGTGTAATCCAAACCCTGTCCAGGAGTGTTAGTTATACAGTGTTTGTAAAAGCCCCTCAGACATTACTGACATGTTCTAATATTATCAGATGAGGAACTAAATTATCAGACATGCTGTCTCATCTACTTCTTTTCTAAACTTCCAAAAAGTAATCAAAACCATTTGAAAGCCACTATTTGTGGATTCACTGAAAGTTTCCATGGAGTGTGTGACAACTTATTTTTTCATAGAGAAATATAAAGTTGGAAAAAAGTGTAAGAGCAGCCAGGCTAATGATCAGATAAATTGCGATTAATCACAATTAATTACAGAAAATTGTGCGATTAATTAGTAAATTTTTTTAATCGGCTGATAGCCCAGATTTTAATGCATTTAATCTGCTGATTAAGTTATGTATATCATTTCACAAGACAGCTTGAATGGAGTTAGCATGTAAATATTCTACAAGAAGAAAGCTATCAACATATATATCAGCTAAAAACACATTGGGAAATACGTTTTTGTTTATATTGCCCAGCCCTAATAAATCCTGGTAAAAAATAACATTGGAGTTGTAAAATCAAAGGCTAAAGTAAAATGTGAACATGGTGCAGCCGTGTGGTACATCATTATATCTGAGGAACCGAGACAAACGCTTTGGTCTCTTGCACACAGTGTTCTGAGCTTTTATGGACTAAGAATTGAAGAAAAACTCCTCCCAACCATCTAAGAACATAGTGGTGATGAACAATAGCAGCATGGAGCATGGGCCAGAATGATAAAGTCAGAACTTGGTGGATCATTGAACAGGAAACACAAACGTGCGGTCAGTCTTCCAGAGGTCGGTGGACAAACAAAACTCAGATGCATGAATGCAGATCATATAACAAGGTCATATAAAATGCCGTCAAATTACATGCACTTGTGACATTCTCATTCATCTTCATTTTACTTTTTATATTAAAGTAATTACAAATAAAAGGAGCTGAAGCAATCGCTCATTGGTGTTTATATGTTTTCAGTTCTAATTTCTAACCCAGGAGAGGAAGCCATCCTACAGAGATGGGAATTATGGCTTCAACAGGTCATCTTCATGTCATGTCTTTGTTCAGCTCAGCAACAAAACCAGGTCATTTCAATCAGCACAGTGAATGAACCTGGTTCAGTTGCTGAGCAGAACACAAACACAACATGAGGATGACTTGTTGAAGCCATAATTCCTATCTCTGCCTTTTCTTTCATCTAACCTCTGTCTTTTAAAAGCATTCCATCACATCAGTGTTTACAGTTTTACACACATTTGCAAATTTTCATTTCTATATTTTCTTTGTTTTACCAGAAGAACATTTTTAAAACAAAAGCATCAGACTAAAAAAAATGTTTTAATTTATTTTTCATCCTGCTCAGCATCAGTGATGTAATCATCTTAACACACAGATCCCACTTCCTGTTTGTTGGGCCCTGCTACCCGCTGCCTTGGTCCTTATGATCCTTAGGGTTCGTCTGATTGAAAACATGCCATAATGATTTGTGGGGCTGTTTATGTAAAACAAACAAGGCTGCTTGTAATGCTACTTTAATGCGTCATAGAATCATTTGACAACAAGATCGTGAAACACTGAAGCAGCAAACGTTTTAAAAATCAACAGTTTATTATTGTCCAGAGATGTCTTAGTCTTCCTAGTGCAGTTTATCATCAAGGTGCTTTTTTATCTGCTGTCTTATTGACAAAACAGACTTTGAACAGAAGTAAGGACATTTGTGTTTCATGTACCTCCCCAAAAATGTACAAAAACCTGCTCCATCATTCTCCTGCTGTGGTACCATTCTACAGCAAAATGTGACCCGGCAGGTGACCAGCATGAGGGGGGAGGAGCCAAGCTCTTGTGGCTGTTTACCTGTTCTTGCTTTTTGTTTGAATTAAAATTCCAAAACAACATTTGGTGGAAAGCTCGTGACATTACGTGGTGCCTTTTTAAAACTCGTTGTCAAACTCACCTATTAAACACAGGTGCTCATGTCCATCATGGATTAAACACAGAAAAAGTTTGAATGTGTGAAGATTTTCATATTTATTATTTTAACTATGTAATAACATATAATAAACTAAACTGTTTGTCAAATGATCAAAACAGTTTTTTTTTTTTTACATTTTCTTTCACATTAAATGTTTGACTTTCCCAGGTTTTTTTCTCATGATCGGTTGTTATGAAAGAGGATTAAATGCCCTGAAAAGAAAAGAAAAATAATGGTGACTTTTTCTCAAAATCCTGACTTTTTTCTCAGAGATCCAAGTCAGAAATTTTCATTTTCTCTTCCTTTATTTCTTATCAGTAGCCGTAATCCTGTTCCGTATACTGTGATTCAAAACTTACTTGATAAATCTGCATATAAAATACTTTGAATATAATAAAAAATATCGAAATACTTTAAAAAAACTCTTCTTTTCCCTTTTTTTCTAGGTCTTGGCTCAAAAGGATATGTTTGTCCAGTTCCAGTCACCATTCCCTGTCTCCTGTTCTGGGTGTTTTCTTTGGATTATTTGCTCAGATATTGATGCTATTAAAACTCAAGGATATCAGATAATAGTGCATATTTTCCCCAAATTTTAGATATCCAGAGTAATCAGAAACAAGAAGAATGTTTCTTAACCACAGTTTTTTCCCAACCCAACTTGGAACGAATGTAAGGGCCTTTCTGAAACGCAGAATCAACCATCTCATGCAGGTCTGATCACTCCAGGAAGCAGGAATTTTCCCTCATAGAAATAAATGACTGAATTTCACTGAAGAAGAAACTTACAAACATGTTCATGCCATGTTCTCTCTTGTCTTCGAGAGTCTTAGTTATTCAGTCTTTGTCTTCTTTCCTTTCCTCTGATTCCTCAACTTTTGTTTTTGAAAGTGTGTCACTCATCTCAGCGTGATGGTGTCCAGTCAGTGTTGCTGTTTTCACGCCTGCTGCTTTACGCTGAGGAATCTGACATAAGCTGGTAGTGGGATTGATTTTAGCTAAATGTCAGATAGAAATACAGGATGTCTAGATGTCAGCCTTCAGGCTATTGTAAAGATCAAACCGCTCAGTCAGGAGGATGTGGCTTCAACAGTGATGCTACACTTTTTCTTATTTATTTACAAAATGCATCTGCCTTCTCTGCTAGGCCCTTGTCTCCTGATCTTGTGCTGGAGAGGAGGTTTGAGATCCTCAGGGTCTCATCTCAGCTTTTTGCTGACAATGTGGTTTTGTTGGTGTTTTCCAGCCATGACCTTCAGCGACCACTGAGAATGTTCACAGCTGAGTGAAGCAGCCCTACTTAGAGTCAGGTCTTCCATATCAGAGGTCATGCTGCTTAACTTGCAAAAGGTTGAACGCGCCTTCTGGATTAGGAGTATCTGCCTCGAGCTAGGGAGTTTAAGTACCATTCGTAGTGCTTCATCTCCAGATGTAGTCTTTCTTGGTGAGGAAGAGTCTGATCTGAAAGGCAAGGCTCTGGCTTTGCTGGTCTATCTGCGTTCCAACACACACTCATCATAAAAGTTTTGGATCAAGACCAAAAACTTGAACCTGAATCTAAGCGGCTGAAATGGGTTCCTCTGTAGGGTGGCCGGGCTCTGCTGTAAAGCTGTTACATCCTCTTCAAGAACTGAGATATTTGGTCGTACTCCCAAGGCAGTGAGGAAAATAAATGTTCTTGCAGCTGAACTAAGGAGTAGTTGCTTACCAGTTCTTACAGAAGACATCATATTGGCAGAACATTTTTTTGTGTGGCAACTATTGCTGAGTTCGGCACTTGAGTTTCCTTGAGCAGAACCTTTTTTCCTTGTTTTAGCCAGCTTGAGCAAACAAACTTCTCAGTCCTCGTAGAACACGTCACACTCTAGAGAAAATTGAGGAGTGCCATCATCAAGGGAAAAACTCCTAATAGAGATAATATCATTGAAATAACTCAACTGATGTAGTTCAGACATCTGATTAGAATGCCTCCTTGTCCATTTCTTCTGGAAGTTTTCTCACTTAGAGATGACATTGGGGCAGACCCCGGTTTTCCTGAGGGGACAATATAGCCTCTTTGGCTTACACAAGGGTTCCTCAAATGTAATGGTCTGAGGGCCACTAAACAAAAAGACCCAGAAGTGTCGGATTGGGGGTCGGACCGGACCAACTTCACATGGGACAGCACTCTGCTGGCCAGAAATGCTTACCAGTTTTGTGGAGATGGTAGGTGCAGGCGCTCCTTACCTGCTTAACAACAACTATTAACTATTTTTTGTGTCAGCAATTAATTTTAAAGCTAGCAGTTAGCTTTTGCCAGTTTGCCAACCAATGAAAAATACAAGAAGGGGAAAAAGAAGTTTGTTTTTTTGTTGTCACGATCAGGATGGAGGAGGTGGAAACCAAAAATGCAGAACCCAGAACGACTCAAGGCAGGAGAAGTGTTCAAAAAAATATCTTTTATTTTAAAGGATGAAGGTGCCAAAAACCAAAGGGCACTAAAAACGAATCAAAACTCAACCTTACTGAAAACAAAAAGAAAACTCATTCGTTGGACTGAACAGGAAGACACGAGGAGGACAGGAACACTCTGACAAATGAAATGACCCAACAAACACAGAGTGACAATACAAGGCTTATAAAGAAGAGGGAGGTAATCAGGGAAACAGGTGACAGGTGTGAGGAGTGAGAGCTGAGGAGAAACTGGTGGAACCAATTAACTAAATGGGAAGGGAAAGCTTGACAGGAGGGCAGATAAACATTAACCTATAACACATGAATCTAACTAAACCTAAAAGACAGAGGGCAAAATAAACAACCAGATGGGTGAGGAGAACTAATCTAAAGACAACTAGGAAAACCAGGGAGTGACTGGGAGGACACAAGAGGAGAGCCTGGAGTGGGAAGAGGAGGGGGCTG